GACAGAAACCAGCCATGAATGGGGAACAGGCCCTGCCCTGCTGACTGCCCAGGGGCCATCTTCGGGCAGAAGCAGGAGAAGCTGCACAGAGCTACCAAGTGCCAGGGCCTTGCTGGCCGACCTCTGTGGCCGCCCCAGGGTCCAACTTCCAATTATTACAGATCATTTTTCAAGCCATGTCAACAGGCCAAAAGCAAATCTTCCACCAAAGTAGGAAGCAGGAAGGAGGCAGATCACAGCTACAACTTATAAGATATGCTTTATGGTTTGTTTCCAAGTCACATAAGTCCATTAATTCCTAAGAATTTTATAGTAATTCTTCATTTAGTGAAAAATCATTATCCTCTCTTCATCTTCTGGGTGAAAAGATAAATCACTCACCACGTAACTGATTCACTCTGGCCTACACTGGGGATGGGAAACCTGGGGTTTGGATCCAGTTTCCTCTGAGTTCAAAGCCTAGGACCTCCCTCAGAGGCAGGTCATGTGCTCCCCCACTTCTCAGCAGGGGCCAGGGCCTTGGGGAGACCTGGGGATTCTTCCAGCTTTCCCTCCCCCCGCCTCCAGGACAACCTCACTCCCAGGGAACAGCACAGATGCGGTAGGGGACTGGGGAGATGGTCAGGCCCGTTCTGAACTTGAGGCTCAGCTTCTCATTGTGTGGACGCTTGAAGGTGAATTTTTGCACAAGGGAGGTAAAGAAAATGAACAACTCGGACCTGGCCAACTGCTCTCCAAGGCACACCCGCTTTCCTGAAAGACAAAAACATAAGACCCGTTACCTTCCTAGGTGGTGTCTGTGCCCAGCAATGACTGAAACCTTCCACCACGTCTTGCAAAACCTGAGCAAAGGGAGGGCCTGCTGGGCCCTGGGGCTTAATGGACTTGGCTTATTTGATCAAAACCACCTGAGTTAACCAAGGCACAGAAAGCATCCATCCACAATCACACACACCAGTGCCTCCAAGGGTCAGGCAGGTGAGCACAGGTATGAAGGTTCAGGGTGTAGATGAAAGAAATGAGAGGTCTGGGCGGTCTTAGTATGTGCCGTCTAGAATAAAATCTTTCAAAAATCCAATAGCAAACAATAATGAGAAAGGCAGACAAAAATCAAAACTCTGTGTTAATTTTTTTTCAGTTCTTAAAAGCCAATTGATGAAAAGGATATGAAAGTAAATGGGAGCCAGGTTTCTAAAATACGAGGCATCCTTTCCCTACATAAGGTTTTCCTCCTTGATGTTTGGGACCCTCCCTGCCATGGTCCCCCTCACCGTGCAAGGCCATCTCATCCCCTCTGTGCTCTGACACCTGCTCCAGGCCCTTGCTGCCCCTCCCCTTCCTGAACGCCCTCCTCACCCCACTTGGGCTAGGACACCCCACACTGGTCTCTACCACCATCTATCTAGTGTGTGTATGTTAATAACTTACTTCCACCCTAAGTAATACATGTTCACCAGAAATATGAAAAAACATGTGAAAGTATAAAGACAATAAAACGTGTTTATAATCACATACTCAGAAAAAACCCTTGTTAAAATTTTGATATATTTCCTCCCCGTCCTTGTAAGGCTTCCCCTGCGCACCTGCACTGTGATTATTCTCTGTCCCTAACTCTATGTGCTGATTTTGCCATGAAGTGAAATATTCTTATAAAACCATTAATGTGTGCACGCCCCCATGTTGTCCTCTGCCTGTAACAAGTTGCTGAGGAAATAAAATCATACAATATCTGCAAAAGAGTTTAATACATGTAAATATGCTTCAGAATTACATCATTATTATATTATTTTGCATCTATGTTTCCCACCAGCATGTGTCTAATCCTCTCTGTTCCCCTCATCCTCATTGCTTACCCCATCACAAATGCTACAGTGAGGAAATTTGGGAAAAGTGTACCAAATCAGCTGTATTGTAAACACTCAGTTTCTCTGAGAAGAATCCAGATATCAGGACAAAACTGGGTCCAGAGATCAGGAACCAGGCTTAGAGTACTGGTTCCAGCAGTAACCAGCAGTGCACTGTGAGGAACCCCTTTTTCTCACAGAGCTAAACATTTCTCACTTGTCAAACATGTGAAATATCTTTTTCCTAAATATGTCCTATGGCTGTGTAAGGATACCAGTCAGACAGCAGCTACGAATTGCCTTGAAAGTCGTGAAAACAAGGGCTACTTAATTTCAAAACTTCACCCAGGATTACAGGAAACTAGGAACTTTCTCCTGGTGCTTCCACTAACTGACCATCACTAAGTAACCAGGTCAATTACCTCACCAATAAAATGAGAGAACGGACCTAGAGTTTTGGGGAAAAGTTCTTCCTAACCCTATCTCCCATGATCCAATGATTTTTTTTTCTTTAAAATGAGAAATCAGTCTCTTGTCTTCATGAAGCTGTCTGCTGCTTTGTTGTGCCAAGTGAGAACAACTTAAAGGAGGAAAAGGAATATGAATCTGCAGTAACAGGTGGTCTATCTGCCCTGATTGTGCATGTGTCCTAAGTCCACACCCCAACATCTTTTACTAGAAAAGAGGAGGAACTGTCCACATGCCATCCCGTCATGGAGGCTGGCTTTACAAAATGCTAGACCAAGAAGGAGACTAACAAATGATGTGCCCAGATGGAATGTGGTGGGAAACACCTGACAGTGGTGTTGACATTTTAACTCAGTGGATCCCCAGGTTTGTAATTCCTGTTCTGTGTATCTAGTGCTCACTCAGCTGAGGCAATCCCAAAATTGATCGCCTTCTCTGAATTTTATTCTTCTCAGGGACAGTGAGACCAACTGATTGCAAAAATGGCTCCAATTTCCCCCTCTCCCTGAATCCACTGATTTACAGTGGCTCTTCATAGCCCTTCCCCTTGAACATAATTAAAAACTGTGCTATTTTGCCTTCCTCTTGAACTGGGGATGACCTTAGGACTCAACACAGTGCAGTGAGACTGATGGTCAGCAGTTCCCAGTCTGGCCTATAGAGGCACTGTGTGCTTCCATCCCCGCTCTTGGGGGATTATCTTCAACTATGTCTATCAAAAATTTATCAAATTGTACGTCAGAAATATATGTGGTTTACTGTACAGGAACCATATCACAATAAAGGTGTATATATAAAAAAGAACTTGCACACAAGCAGGGCTAGTTACATGGAGGATAAGTGAAAACTTGGAGACGATCCCCATTGTCCCAGCTGAAGGCATCCTTGATGAGCCTTCAGCCAGCTGACATTCCAAACAGGTAAGAGAGCCCAGCTATGATCAGTCCAGCTACCTGGCTCAACTGTAGACTTGTGAACAATAATAAACACTTCTTGTTTTCAACTACTGAGTTTTGGACGATTTGTTATGCGGCATTATAATAACTGATACTTATGATATGAACTCAGTGAATCTTCAAGTGGAAGGAGCTTTAAGTGGGAAAATGAGTTACATTCTAATTGTGCAGAGAGAGCACTAGAGTAGGAGGATAAAAGCTTGACGTTTTAGCCCTGGTCCATCAATTCGTTGGGCACACAAACTTGAATGAGAAACAGCTCTCTCCTATTCGTTGTTTCCTTGCATTGAGAAAGGAGCTACTAATCCATTTCCTGTCAAACTATGGATAACTGGGTTGCTGTAAGGATTACATGAGATAATTTGCTTGCAAATGAAGTCAGAGATTAACAGGGTGTGTTACAATTCTCAAAAGCAAAAACACCAGTGAGGGGAGAATATTTATAGTACTTGAGGTGTACAGCAAAAACTTTATACTATAATGTGAAACAGGAAGCTCCTGTAGACAGGAAGTCTGGAAGGTACTCCTACATCTCATATCTGCTTTCATGCTAGGAAGTGACTGGCCCAGTGTGAGCAAAGATGATGCAGAACCAGATGAAGACAGACAAAGAAGATCTGATCAGAATCAGCACAGATACACTCAGGACTTGGCAATAAAGTAGGACAGCATGAGCCCTGATCACACTTACCTGGGTTCAACTTCCAGCCCCTCACTTCCTGTGCTTAGTGGTATCATCAGCAAATTGATACTGCCTCAGGAAATCAATCTATATTTGATTTTACACTAATGATAAGAGAACGATTATGAATTTCAGAGTTTCACTCTGTGTAGCATGTGAGTACCTTTTTTAGGAGCCCCTGGTAGGAAGAGCACGGGCTTTATCTGTTATAAACCTGGTTTACACTGAGTTCTAGCTCTGCCACCTGAGCTTGTGACATCAGGTGCCACAGATGACCCTGTTAAGCCTCAGTTTCCTTATCTTTAATGTGGTGATAGGAATTTGAACCTACTAAGGTTACATAGGACATATGCTCATTGAGAGTTTTTTAATATATATATATATATATATATATATATATATATCATTTATTGTTATATCCTCAGGGTTGAATTCCTGGCACATAATAAATGCTTAGGAAGTATTTATAGAATTAAGAAATTTGAAAATTAGTTGAAATGATCTCCACAAATAGCTCAATACCTGCCTGGCGTATACTAAGAATTTTTATCACTCACGTAACAATGTTATGAGTTAAAAACATCCTTTAGGAACCTCTGCCTTAGAAACATGAGTGAGTTTTCACTGTATTCTCTTTCCTACATTTTAAATTGTGCATCTTATAAATGTATTAACTAAATTTTTAAAGGGCCTTAGAATTTTAAAAGGGGCAAAAGGACCTCTTCAGGGAGTAGTTATGGAGTAGAATCCCATCTAGGTAAGGCTGTGGCACTTAGAGTCAATAGTGATGCCCATAAGGATACGGAAGCCAACATTTTCCTTGCCTTTCCCATGCCCACTTCTTAGTAATTGACTCTAGTTCTGTGTGAGTGGATGACGTTTAAAAAGAACTTGAGACATTTATAAACTCTGTAAAGATGCAAGTGTCCAATCTACTTTGTGGAAAACAGGCAGGGTCTGAGTCTGTCCCCAGTGTTCTTGGGGACTGGACAAAGTGAAGGTGCAATCTGCATCAGTCAAGCCAGGACTTAGGAAGTAAGGGCATAAGTCCTGGTGATGCTCAGCCCAGGGAACCCGGAGGTGCAGCAACAGCAAGAGGGAGTCCCGCTGGGCAGGCCTGTCTGGTGTGGACAGAAACTGTTGCCTGTCTTTCTGGTGAACAACGAAAGTTGTCCTCCATCAAGCCATCAGCTACCGCAGCTGTCCCCGGTGGTGTGCCCTGAGGGGAATTCATGATGGAGAAAAAGGATACTGGCCCTAGAGTGTAAAGAAGCATTTAAAAGAATAGTTTCAATGAGTTCAGACTCTTGCACTAAAATCATTAACTTGAGATATAAAAATAGATAAAAAACAAGTTCCTTCTGTATAACACAGGGAAATATATTTAATATCTTGTAATAACCTTTAAAGAAAAAGAATATGAAAGCGAATACATGTATGTATATGCATGACTGGGACAGTGTGCAGTGTACCAGAAACTGACACATTTTAACCAATTGTACTTCAATGATAAACAAATATATATACAAAAAGAATATGAAAAAAATAAAACAATACACTATAAAAAGAAAAGAACTTGCCACATTTGGGGTTTTGTTTGTTTGTTTTTTGTAGTTTTTTTTGAAGGGGGAGAAATCACCAGTGAACTTGATATTTGAATACATGTGTGTTTTCAGCAAAATCTCTTATTTATCATGACTCTTTCCTTACATCTTGGAAACAGTTCCTATTTGCTATCGAAGTGGCCACCTTCCCTGGCTGCAATCCTCAGTAATGCCCTGAATGAAACATAATTCTCAACTTTTTGATTGTGCATTTTTTTTTATCTTGACAACGGACACTTTCCAACTAAAGCAAAGCACACCAGGGAAAAGAGGAGGGAAGGGCTGAGAGAGGGGCTCTGGGTCCCCACACTCCTATTTACTGCAACTCACCTACTGAGAAAGGCAGAAAGTCGTCCCTTTTCTTAAACTGTCCATTCTCCAGAAAGTGCTCCGGATTGAACGTGTCTGGGGTGGCCCACTCTGCAGGGTCTGTGTGCAGTGCGGTCAGGTTGGTCATGACCATGGCTCCCTAGAAAAGGCAGCAGACTCAGGAAATGCTTGACCCACACAACACACCTGTGCAGAGGGGCAGGTGTCCCCTGAACTCTCACACCAAAATCTGACAGCACCGTGAACCCCCTCAAACTTCCCAACTCACTACCTTCTGAGCCCAACCTCTAGGACCCTGCTCTTTGCCAGGGGACAGATTACAATGGCGGATGGAAGTGTCTGCTGGGAATTTTTCCAGGGAAGTGTGACCACTCATGACTGCAGAATAGATCTCTCCAGGGATATGTCAGTCTAGAACTTAGGAGGGAACATGTGTACATCTATGAGACAATAATGTGACAGCTGGCCAGTCAACATTGTCCCAAATCCAAACCAGCTGCTCCCTGAAGTGATAACTATTGAGCTCTTTCAAGGTAATAATGCCTCATGTATCTCTCTTTCTCCCTCCCATTCTCTTCCGTCCACTGTCTAGGTCATTTCACATAAGGTTGAGAGAGATTCAGGTCTCCCTATGAAGGAACCACTATTCATCCAGGTACAGAGCAAGAAACCCAGGAGTCACCCTTAATACCTCCCTTTCCTTCATTCTGCCTTCATCCAATCCTTCAACAAGGCTGGTCAAGTTTACTTTAAATTTCTCTTGATTCTGTCTCCTCCATTTTAGATCCACCACCACCCTGGTCCAGGCTACTCCACTGCTTCCCTCAATAGCTGTCTTACTACACCCCATACCCTCTCTTTCCCCTTTCCATGTGCTCCCCTTGCTGAAAGCAGAGTTAGCTTTAAACAGGACTTCGTCATGTCACACCCATCCTCCCAGCACACCCGGAACTTAACAGACACCATCAATAGCTCCCTGTCACTCCTAGATGAACGATACCTCACCTGCCTCTGTCTGAGCCCCTCCCTCTGCCTGCACTCCCACTGCAGGGAGCTGCTTGCAGTTTCTAAGTCACCACATGTCCCCACTCATGTCCATGCCTTTTACAGTCTGTTCACCTTGCCAGGAATGTCCTTCCTTCTCTTTTTGTGACTGAGTCAAACTAATCCTCAGCTCAACTGTAACCTCCCTATGGAAGCCTTCTCTGCCCACCCTGCTCCCACACCCCATTTCAGTCAGCCTGCTTCTTTAGAGAAACCAGTGATTTTTCTTCAGCTGAGCAGGTGTCATGGTTTGTACTCATAAACTTGCATAATTATTTTCTCAGACATGTTTCCCCAGTCCTGAAAATTTTTGGTGCTTAATGAACATTTGTTGATAATAACCATTACCTGATGTAGTTTTCATACACTAAACTAAATGTTCTAATTATGAGCCCATTTTACCTCCACCTGGAAGGTTGGGTTAAATTCCTTTATACAGATAAAGAATTTGAATCTCTGAGAGGTTGAATAATACATGCAGGTCACAAGGTGGGAGGAGGTAGAATCATGATTTGAACTAGGACATTGAGATAAACACTACGGCTGTGAGGCTCTACAACATACAGCCAATGAGATGTCCCAGTTCCCAGGACGATTACTCAAGCAGATATTAAAAATCGGTGGTAGAATGAGTCTCTTAAGCTGGGATAGTTCCCTGGAGCAAAATGAATTGCAGTAAAAATGCAAAGAGCTCCTGTGAAATAATTTAGACCCCAGCCTCCACCAACAAGGTGGTCAATCAGTAGGAAAACTGTAAACGCAGTACCAGCAGGGATAGCTGCTTTCGTGGCTCTGCAGGGTGACTCATGGGTGTCAAAGGCTAAGCTCCTTTGGTTCTACCTCTTGAGACTTAGACACACCGAGGGACTTAGACAAACTGAGATGAATCCACAGAGGCCCACCATGGTAGTGAGAAAGCACAGTGTAAACGTGCAGTCTGCAGACAGGACGCTAGGGGGCATAGGACAGCGCTCCACCTGGATCTTAAGCGTTGGGGGCAGAGTAAGAGCAGAATTTCCTTTGTGAGGACAGGGAGTTTAACAGAAACCAACTGAGAACAACTGCAGGGAGACTCTTTGAAAGACAAAGTAAAGCGTCTCCTGTGGAGAGAACTTGTTGCTGTGGAAAAAGGTGGACATGGGGTTCAGAACATGTCTGTTTCTGGCACTCACTTTGTACTTGAGACATCTTAGGCAAGCTTATTCGCTCTCTGAGCCTCAACTTCAAGTTTATAAAATAGGATTAACAAAATTGTTCTCAGGACGGATCAAGGCATTTTCAAAGAACGTGTATAGGCCATGGTACATAATCACTGCTTAATGAACATCGGTTCCTTTCTCTACTTTCTGATATTTAACAGGGCACACACTTGGATGGGTTTCCCTTGTGAGATGATAGTTCCATCACGGGGCTGTAAGTCAAAGCTGGAAAAATACCTGTGGGGATATTATGCTAGAAACACCAGCATGAATGCGAAGTTGGTTCAGGTGGCCTCAAATGTCATGTCATATTTCAATACTCTGTAATCCTAAGATCGTGAAGCAGAATTTTTCAAAGTAAGCCGGGCAGGTCCCTAGTCCTGTGAGAAGGTCTACCAAGGCAAAGAAAAGGACCTTCTGTCAAAGTCTGACTGAGGACACTGCTTGCTGTATCCGAACAGAGATTCACAGGGCACATCACATAGTACAAAAACCGAGAAATGTCACAGCAAAGAAGAAAAGGCTTTGCCTAACACATTTGACCTAGGAACCCCCTTCCCCACCACAACACTTGGTAACATCTCGGTAAACTAACACTCTAAAGATCACACACAGAGAACGAGCATGATACCAGGTACAATACCTCTGTCCCCATTTAAGTGACTCCTTAGGATGAGCATCCAAGTCACTTTCCCAGTTGAGTTTCCCACCATTGAAAAAGGTAAGCATGGAGATCTGAGGCTGCAAGTGAGGCCACAGTTACCTTGGGCAGGTGGTATCCAGCCAGCGTGGTGTCCACAGTCACCTCTCTGGGTACATTCATGGGAACGATGTTGCCCATTCTCTGCACCTCGTGGATGACAGCGTTGGTGTAGGGCATGGACTCTCGAGCTGCCAAGCTTGGCTGCTGCCATTGGCCAATCACCCTGTCAATCTCAGCCTGTACTTTTTCTGCAAAATCAGAGAAATTTCTATCGTTTTAATATTCATTATCCTCCTTGAGCCTGCTAAACAGCTAACGAATGAAATAACCAGGATCAAAATGGCTGAAGTTACAGCAGGCTGTGTAGACAGTAGTTTCTCAGGGAGGTACCTGAGTGCAAAGTGGGCCCTGGTTTAACACAAATCTAGCTGCCAACTCTTACTTCTCAACTTTTGCTTCCTGCCGCAAGTTACTGAAACCTTCTGAGCCCCAGTTTCCTTTTCTTATGAATGAAGATATATCTACTCTCCTGTTTAGAACTTTTAAAAATTTACATGAACTGAGTTAGGGGAGTATCCAACAAGTGGAAAAAAACTTGCTAATTTTGATCCAACATCTCTTTTCCTTTTTTTCTACAATACTAGACATTTTAGCTGGAGACCTGATCCCCAGCTAAAGACTACGTTTCCCAGATTCTCTTGTGACTAATTGTGGATAAAAGAATGTATGTAGAGGGATGTTTACACTGGGAACATTCCCTTAAACTCAGGTCTCCACCTCCCTTCCCTTCCCACTGGTGGAAAGGCAGCCTTATTGCGGAGACATCTCTGAGAGGCCTACAGGGGGATTATTCTAGGCACAACACAGCAACACATTAGATGGAGTCTGACCCCAAAGTGCTCTGCAGAGTCCAGCTTAGATATTATCACTTGAGAAAAAAAAAACTACATTTTTAAAAAAAAATCTGACAATTTAAAAACTTTTAAAATTGTGGTAAAATACACATAATATAAAATTTAACATCTTAAGCATTTTTATGCGTACAGATTAATCATGTTAAATATATTCAAATTGTTGTACAACCAATCTGCAGAACTTTTTATCTTGCAAAATGGAAACTCTGTATCCATTCAACCATAACTCCCCACGTTCCCCACCTCCAGCCTCTGACAACCACCATTTTAGTTTCACTTTTTATGAATTCAACCCATGTAAATACCCTGTATAAAGAGGAAAATACAGTATATGTCTTTTTTGACTGGATTATTTAGTTTAGCATCATGTCCTCCGGGTTCATCCATATCGAAGCATGTGTCAGAATTTTTGCTTTTTAAGGATGAATAATATTCCACTGCATTTCACATTTTGCTTGCCCATTCATCTACCAGTAGACACTGGAGGTGCTTCCACTTCATATGTCATTTTAAGTCATTGGTATTTTGCAACTTCTGGTAGAGAAACCAATTCTAAATTCTAACTAGGTGGTTTTTAAACTTAAAAAAATGTAATTAACAATTACAAATATATTTTACATGACCCAGGACATATGAACAAACATATACAAACAGATATAACGTGCATTAATGCATAAATAAGGAAAGATAAAATTTCATTAAAAACTTAACCTTAGTTCACAGGAAGCACTCTGATCTTTTCTAATCTATTTTTTTAATTTAGGAAAGAAATTTGTCTTGATCTAGTAAGTTGACTTTATGTTCTATCAATAAACTATTGCCCTAGTTTGAAAAGCTGTGTCCCAATCGTTTTTATCCTCCATGTGCCCAAAGTGTTCTGGGGTCTAGAGAAAAAAACAAATGATTGTAACAGTCACTGTCCTGGAATGAACTGCGGCTGGTGGGGAGGATGTTTAAATAATGCATAGAAATCAAAGTGATGGAGGGGGATTCAGTTACCTCCAAAGGAAGGAAATGCTAATAGCTTCCTAGAGAGTGCAGTAACATCTAAGGGAAGGATGCTGGGTAGATTTCTTCAAGCATAGCTAGTGGCTTAAAGTGGAAAAACTAGGGAAATATTTTCTTGTGTTATTCTGCTAGGGACGAGCAGGTGTGATGGCACAGAGGCATAAATTAGGACAGTGCAGTGAAAACCACATGTCATTTAGTGAGGCCACCATGCAGGGAGGGTTGCTGAGGCTGAACAGGCAGGAAGGGGCACATCACAGGGCAGGATACACCAGACCCAAGAGTCTGAACATCATCCACAGGGCAGTGGAAGACATGACTTAACAGGAGGGAAGGTGAGGACCAGCCTGCACATATGAATGGCATGTAACTCTTTCTGGGAACTCACCGAGATGTCCATGGACTTCACCGTTTTCCCCACTAGACTGGCAGTTTTCTGAGGGCAAGGACTCTGTTATGTTTATATTACATGGACCCATCATAGTCCTGACAGGAAAACTGAAGAATGTGCTCATTCTCCAGTCCACCTGGTGCTGTGACTGCCCTACCATCTCTCCATCCTACCACCTGTCTTCTGGCCCCAACTTTGGGAAGTGTGTTCCAGGAAGCACCATCCTGACCTGGCCCAGGCACACCCACAGATGTGCTTACCTTGGATGTCTGGGTGCAGGGCCATGTAGAGCAGACCCCAGCGCAGCGTCGTAGCACTTGTCTCTGTTCCAGCAAAGAAGAGGTCCAGGGTGTTGTGAATGAGGTTTTCTTCATTGAAACTTGAGGTAGCATTGCCCCTATTCTAGAAAGCACAATGTTTGTTAACATAGTTAACAGTGTTAACATTAACATCATCCACGCACGGCAGCTTCATCCTGGAGAGACGTGGAAGGAGAGGACCCTCCCCCACCCCCGGAGCAATGACTTTCCTTTTGGCCATCAATGAGTGATGGAGTATCATTAGCATCCTCCTGCCCTAAGCACTAGATATTTTGTTAAGTTTGTTTGATGAAAATCAAGATAACTAATTTTTTTATGCCCATAACTTGGGAGAATCTGTTAGTACACTGGAAAAATACCCTTAGTTTCCAACATTAAACACATCATTTATTATCTGTATGACTTGAGAGAGTTACTAACCCTCTCTGTGCCTCAGTTTCCTGTTTGAGAAACTAGAACTAACCATACTCACCCACTTGATGGCATTATGACTTACGTGAGATACAAAGGCATGTAGCAAACACTCAACAACTGTTGGTACTGATACCAGAAAGAATAAACTCAATTTCTCTAAAGTATAACCATTCTCATTCCTCCCCACTAGTCTTTTCCTTTCTTGCTTACATTTCTGTGATTCCAACAGCCTTTCCTCATGGTTTTCCAGCAATTTTACCCCGTTCCTCCAGAAGCTTCATTGTGTCAACATTCCTCTGTGTGTGGTCCCACACCTGCACAGCTTTCAGCTCATGAAGTCTCTTCCTCTGAGGAGAAACCAATGCTTCTACTAATGCTGTGCCAATAAGGAGAAATAAGAGAGGAGATGGAAAGAGATCCACCACTCTGTCAAATCAGGAGAAGGAACGCATAATCTGATGAGTCATAGATGATGACAGGGAGGCAGTGATGTGTATCAACCAGAGGGGTTACTATGGTAAGGGCTATTCATCTAATATGGATTATTCTTGCTTGTTTCCTATAAGGTTGGAAAGTGAATGACATGGGGACAAGGAAAGAAAGAAAAGTCCCTCCCACTTGAGTCTAAACTCTGGCATCAGATTCAGCTTTACTTGTGTTCTGACCTGGGGAGCTGGGGGAAGGAGTAGGGAATTGGACACCAGCCCAAGTAAAAATGAAACAATACTTATTTTTTCCTTTTCTGTATATCTCCTTCAAATATGGGTAGAGGGTAGAGAATCGACTATAAACAGATAGTATTTGTGCTTACCCAGAGCCTCAAACCAAATGCTGTTAAACCTCTATCTTTATTTCTAATTGTGTCATGAATTCTGAGTTAATGTAATTCATCCACAGTAGGAAATGTTGTCTCTATTTTTACCCCACCCCCCCGTGGTAGGCTGAATGATGGGCCACACAGATGTCCATGTCCTAATCTCTAGAACTCTAGCATGGTATTTTACCTAGCAGAAGGGACTTTGTATATGTGATTAACTTAAGGGCACTGATCAGGGCAGATTATCCTGGATCATCCAAGGGCACCCACTATATTCACAAGAATCTTTATAAGATGGAGGCAAGAAAGTCATAAAGAGAAGATGCTACATTGATGACTCTGAAGATGAAGGGATGGGGCTTGAGTCAAGGAGTACAGGCAGTTCTAAAAGCCAGAAAATCAAGAAAATGGATTCTCCCCTGAGCCTCCAGAAGACGCCAGTCCTGCAACACCTTAACTTCAGTCCAGTGAAACTGGTTTCAGACTTCTGAACTCTAGACCAAATGAGAATGAACTGTGTTGTGTTAAGCCACCAAGTTTGTGGTAATTTGTTACAGCAGCAATAAGAACATTGAATCCCCTCAATTGCTCTTTAAGAACCGAATTCAGGAAACAACTCTGGATTCCTCACTTTCTCTATTTCCTGGAGGTAAGCATCAATAAAATCTCTTGCTTCTGCAGGATTCCAATCTCTCTTGTGGTTTTCAATCACATGGGCAACAAACATTCTCAGTTTCTTGCAGTTACTGAAGACCCTTTGGTGGGGACCAGGGAGGAATTTCATTATCCATGGAAAGACATCATAGACCTGATTGAGAAAAACAAATCCATCATGGAGTTAAAATGGTGCCAGTTTTCCACTTATTAATTCAATATAACCATCCCCTCTTTCCATCTCTTCTCTGTTTACACTTAGCCATTGCAGTCACTCTTGAGTCTTCCCATCCCTCTCATCCCTCTTCTTACCTACCCTCTGGCCAAGCATGTCAGCCCTCCGTCCACAGTATAACCAGTGTCAGATGACCCATCACCACTCCAACTGCCTTGTCATCCTTGTACAGTCCACCAGCATTTCCTACCTGGATGCTGTAAGAGCCTCCAACAGGTTTCCTGATTCCATCCTTCACCCCATTCCCAGTCTATTTTCCATTGAGCTCCCTGGGTGACTGTTTACAGTTTAATTGATCATTTCACTTTCTGGCTCTCAATTCTCCAGTGACTTACCATGACATTTAGATGAAATTCTATCTCATTCTCCTGGCCTGAAGCTCTACATGAGCTGCCCGTCACCCTCCTGTCCCCTTCTCTGCTATCATCCCCACCGTCTTCATCTCTCTTACTCTTTCCAGTGCAACCCCACTGGCCTCTGTGGTAACACCCAGGATGTCCTTGTTTAGGTCTTTGCATTTGCTGTTCCTTCCACCTGGGATGGTCTTCCTCTGAAATCTGCACAACTCCAGCCCCTTCCTTCATTAAGGTGCTCCCCAAAGGTCACCTACTTGGACCTGTCTTACCTGATGATCCTATAATTAGCAGAACTTCTGCACCCTCCTTCCATTACTTTATTTTGTTTAATTGACTCCTTGGCAGTTATCACTAGTATTTGTGTGTGTGTGTGTGTGTGTGTGTGTGTGTGTGTAAATATGTGTGTGTATGTAAACCTGTCTATCTACATAACTAGCTATGATAAACCTTTATATGTATTTATTTATCTGTCCCCACTCTGATCAAATCTCAGTGTACATAAGAAATTTTCTACTGAAATAAAGTGGTTTTTGAAGATATTTTATCTAATAATATCTGGGAGAAAATAGATAGCATAACATAATGGAAAGTGGCCTAGATTTAAAATAAAACATGCACAGGTGTGTCTATTAGCTCTCTTGGTTTCTAGCTATAATGCATTGGCATTAATACTTATAATAATCATAGTAATAATGTTGTGATTTGTTGCTACTTATACCAGCTGTCAGTGAGGCCTGAGGGTTTTTTTCAAGAACAAAGGAAATGAGATCCACCCCCCACTTAACACAGAGCCAGTGGACACTATGTGGATTTCCTTACACATTCCCATGTCTGCTTGCACACATCAGGATGCTTCATTTCATCTTTAAAGAACTGTTGTAAAAAATCGGCAGAGATAAATTGTGTGTAGTTGTCCATCGAAGTACCTGGCCTCTTTTGTGTCACCAAGAAATGCTTCCACCCATGGCCCAATGCCCCATCAACCTCCTAGGAATTTCCCTCCCCTGGGTACCCACAGAACTCTCATGACTTCCTAGGTTCTGTCTTAAGAGGAGGGAAGAGAATAGAATTACTGAATGGGGACCTACCCTGATTAGAAGTGAGAAAAAGGAATGCTATTCAAAAAAATAACATAAATGATAAATATAATATCTCACATTCATTAGGGCCCTTTAATGTGCCAAGAATCATAGGAAATGCTTTATCCATTTTGGTGTGATGGGTCCAGAAATCTCCAGGAAAGGATGCTTATCAGGAATAAATAATAGCAAACCCTCTTCTAAACATTAGAGAGGCGACATCAACACTTGGGGCTGAATATCCCTAGAAGTTTCTTTCAAATGCAGAAGGGAGGCTGAGTGACCACGAAGCTGAGCAGGGTTATTGACAGACTCACAGTCCCAGCAGGACAGAGGAGGAGAGGAGGGCCCACCAAGGAAAGGGTGAGGTTTCAAACCCTCACATCTATAACTTTAAAAATTAGAAGATTGAACATAGCACCTGTGGATAGGCATGGAAGCAGTGCAGCCACAGGAGAAACGTTTAAGTACTTTTTACATCCAGGTGTAAATGCAACAGACAAGGGAGGATGTGTCCATGTGAACGACAGAACAAGAATGTTGAAGGCAGCTTTAGTTCCAACATCCCCACTCTGGAAGTCACCCAACTGTCATCAGTAGGAAAAGAATAACAAAAAGTAGAAAACTCAGCAGTAAAAACAAGAGCACATAACATATGAACCTCAAAGCAGTGTGCCCAGGGAGCACCAGGCACAGAAGAGAACTTCCTTGGGAGGATGGAGGTGGGGGTTAGGGAAGGTACACGGAGAGGAGGGACTCCAAGGTGATGGAGACATTGTGCTTTTTAAAGAAAACAACATTTGTGCACAAGTGCAGCTCATATGAAATTTGTCCTTCACACGAATGTTAGTAAAATTCTTTGTCTATAGTAAATATTTAACAATATTATGTAAAACAGTAAATACAACAGATGAATTTCAAAAATATTTCTGTTAATGTCAATTTTAAAATGTTATGTATTAGCTCAAAAAACAAAACCAGGAAGACCGCATCTCATCTGTGTCTGACATCAGCCCAATACGCTTATCCAAGGTAGGAAGTGAGAACGTCTCACCTGGCGGAACATTGACATCTGCAGACGTGTGAATTCATCCAGCAGCCTCAGCAGCTCCTGGAACTGATCATCCTGGTAGTCAAAACGCCCCCCAAATGTGATGGAGCAAATAATATTGGAAACTGCATTCTTGATTTTCAAGTCAGGGTCGAAAGGCTGTCCTGGAAGGAGAGGAAGAGATGGATCCTTCAGATTTGTGCCTTTCCATTTCCTCTGAGGGTCTACCCTACACGACACAGGACACACTAAGAACAGAACCACCTCTGAGACTGTGGACCCAGCACCCTCCACAGGGTCTGACCTATAGCAAGTACTCGGTCAATGCCGGGAATTCAAACTGATGACCAGGATTTAAATCAATGTGTTCTATATTCGTCTTCTCGTGTCTAATTCTCCAGCTCCATGAGGGCAGGTCATGGTTAGTTGTTCACTGTTAACCCCTCAGCGCCCTACACAGTACTGGGCACAGGGCAGGCACGTGGGCACTTATTAAGCATCTGGTCGGTGAAGGAATGAGCCGCAGTCTCCTGCACCTGTCCTGTGACACACTCACCGTCCTCCTCTCCTATTGCCTGGGTGAGGTAGCGGGCCTCTTCCTGAATGCGTTCCTCTAAGCTCTTCTTTCCTAAACCGAAGTTCCTCAGTGTCATCAGGGCAAACCTTCTTTGCTCCTTCCATTCCTCGCCATTGGACATGATCAATCCTGGGAAAAAGAGAGCCAACATTATGAAAAGAGAGCCAACAAATTCCATTGGGATGTGTATCAGATGGAAGGAAGGAAAAAGGCATCAGGCGCTAGAAAATTATCCATAAAAACACTCCCAAACAATAAGTATAATGGCTAGTATTTACTGATTGCTTGCAATGCCAGACACATTTGTATTTTTATTGCATCATATAATTTAGAACTAACAGAGCCTCTCTGAGCTAGGTACTATCATTACTGCCAACACCCCACCTACGATTTTGTTGATAAAAAACTGAGATACAATGGAGAAAGTAAAATTTTGCAAGGACAGAGAGTTATTAAGCAGGTGAACCAGTTTTGAAATTTAGGCTCCCTGACTCCAAAGTCCATGCCTTTGATTACTTATCACCTAAGTATATTTCAGTGTTTGTTGTGTACCTAGGAAGAACGTACTTATGGATTAGACAAAATACATACTCATAAGGAGGCAAGGCCTTACTCCAAGTCAGACCTTAAGAAATAAATGAATCACTGAAGAAATCAAGGTTTAGTGAAGAGTCTATGCAAAAAGAACAACAGAGCAGAGAAGAAAAAAAGAACCCACATCGGTGTGTTTAATTGACCATTGTCCATTTCATAACACAGGGGAGAACACACCCCTTTCATGTCCTCATGTCCAAAGAACTCATCAATCCCTTTCAATGTCTGGCTTTGGCCTCCACCCTCTCCATGAAATGGCCCTCCCTGCTGTCAAATCCAAGACCCTTTATAACCTCATCTGGATACGTCAGCTGCCTGAGACACTTCTCTCTTGAAACACTCTTCCAATGGTTCTCAGGACCCCTCACTCTCCAGATTTTCCTCCTAATTCTCTGACCACAGAGAACTTACCATAATTTGCTTAATTCACCTACTTTTATCAAATTTCAAAATGATGCAGTTCTTCAAGATTCATGATCTTCAGGCCTCTTCTCTTCCTACCCTAGGCTCCATTTGTGAGAAAAATCTCATTAACTCCTAAATTTTAAATAACGTCTACTGATAGTGAGCATCTGTTTCTTTCTCAGCTCCAAGCATTCATACAAGTGTCTGCTTGACTCTGTTGACTTAAAGGATTTCAAGCTCAGCATATTCATGACTGAATTCATGATTTGCTCCACACAACTTTCCCCCCAAGCCAGCCCACACCTTGTCCTCCCCAAATGTTCCTTCTTCCTTTTATCTGCCCACTTGGGTGTCCACCTCAGTATCTCATTCTCCCAACATTTAGCTCATCATGTCTTACTGGATTTACCTCCTGAATATCTTAAATCTATGTATCTTTATGGTCACTATCCTGGCCTAACACACTGTAATGTCATTTCTTGTCACCTTACTAGTCCAAGCTACCACCTTCTCTAACCAAAAATGCTACAATAATCTCTTTATCCCTATATTCCATTCCTGACATTGTAATCTAGCTAAGTCTTTAAAGTGTGTAATGTGAATATGATGATTCCTTCCTCTGCTTAAACCAAGTTTCCATTGTTATTCAGATAAAAGCTACGTCCATAACAAGAACATGCAGGAAGGATCCTGGCCAAACTCAGCAGCTTCACCTCCATTTAATCTCTGCACTGCCACACTGGCCACCTTTCAATTTCCCAAGTTCACTGTCCTCCTTCCCACCTCAGAGACTTTTCATATTCTACTCCCTCTGCTTATTGCTTCCTCACTGTATTAAATTAGTTGTCATTTACAGTCATTAGCATTTTTGTATCTCAGGACTAGATTAGATATCCCTAATGGATGCACTCAGCACGTACCTTCATAACACTAAGACTTTAAATTATTAGACTAATTGATACCGCCTTCTGGATAGAATATAAGTTACATGACGACAAGGATTTTGTCTGTTCTACTCACTGTTACATCACTTGTGTCTGGCATCAGGTGTTACAGGGCAGATAATAAATTGAGTGAATGGATGTAGAGGTAATGGGTAAAATATTTCAAAAAGGAATTGAGAACACCTGAAAATAAGGATGCTTTGGTAGAAGAATTTATTTGAATTTTTTATTTGGATTTTTCAACCTGTAAGTTTATTTAATGATTTTGTGAAGTATGCATTTCAAACTGTTCTAAAATTGAACTAGAGGCTCTTGATACCTTGTGAGGCACAGCCTTAATATGAAAGTGTAAGTGACTAGAGGCAAGAGGGGATCAGCAGATTCAGCAGGAGGAATCAGATCCACATCCATTTTCCTTAGGGAAGAGATTTCAATGGGAAAGCAGAAAAAGAGACCTGGAATGCATTGCCTCCTCCTCTTCTTACAAAACACATCACATCATTTAGTGATGTGGACTAAATCACATCATTTGGGAGAAGCTGTCACCTGCATGAACATTCTCTGGATGCTTTGATAAATCTGGATACTTTGATAAATTATTTATCAAAGCATCCAGAGAAAGTTCATGCAGGTGACAGCTTCTCCCAAATCCATGACATTGGAGCTGACCCTGCCAGGTTCCCTGAGGATGTGCCTTCAACATGGAAATGTGGGCACTAAGCGTCTTTCAGGGGCAGAAATTTCATGATGGGCCTGGTCCCTGGGAGTGTTGGAGAATTACAGTCACAGAGGCACCTTTCACAGACCACAAGAATCACAACCATATGAGTCTTACCTTTTTTCTTAAATACACGGGCTATGAAAGGTGTTATGGCACGGTTCATAAAGTTTTGGCCCTGGTGGACAAGGACTTCTTTGAGTAAGGGCAACCCAGTTATAATAATTGAAGATACTCCACTAAATTCCAGACTAAGAAGGTTCCCATATTTCTTCACAATCTGAAAAATAGTAAAAAGGTCACAGTTGAATATGAGCATACCTGTGTGTCCAAGAACGAAGGGTGTGTGTAGCTCATATTGAAGGGAGTCTGTGTGTGTGTGTGTGTGCGTGCGCGTGTGCATGTGCACCTGGGTCTGGTGGGAATATCTCTTCCTTTTCCATTTGTCCTCCTCTCAATTAGATTTGGGTTGAATTCACTATAGGACATAAACTTTCCTTATGATTTTTCATTCATTTGTTCAACCTATTTTAATTGAGTGAGCACGTACCATGTGTCCTAAGAGCCAGGCATAAAGATACAACTATAATAAAATAAACAATGTCTCTAACCTCAAGCATCTTAGAGGCTGTTGAAGGGAGAGAATTCAGCACAAGTGACTCACCAGAGGAAGCTGAGATATGTCTATAAAATTTCTGGTGCAGCAAGCCTGGACTTCTTAGCAAACCATTTCTGTTTAACCAGAAGAGAATGTCCCCTCCGCAAACATGCTCCAGACAATAGAAAATTCATTATAGGGCTGGGGTCAGGTGTGGAGAAAAGCACACTACTTCTGGAGCCATGTGTAAATCTTAACTCCATATTTGACTGTTGGGAGCTCTCAGGCAAGTTCCTTCACTTATTTTGAGTTTCAGCCTCCTGCTGAAAAGGGGAAATTATTTCTCCCTCAAAGGTTTCTGTGAGGAAGACTGAGACCAGTAATGTGGAAGGTATTTTGTCTTCTGGTATCTGAAAAGCAGCCACTCCAGATTCTGGGGAATGAATGATTTTGTGTGCAAAGGGACCTGGATGAATGCACTCATGATGACAGACTGGACAAGGGCACTTGGACAATGTGCTGGAGAAAGGCACCTGGGCTCACAGACAACCACATTCACTGGATGCCATGTTAAGCACCTTCTCATTTTATCCCATTTACTTCACAACCACCCTACAGAAGTAATGATTTTCATTGTCTTTCAGAAAAGAAAAATGAGTCACACCCAAAGTAACTTAGCCAAGGTGAGAAAGCTATTGGGTTTTGGAGGGAATTGGCAGGCATCATATACGATATAAGGACAAAGACATTAACCTGAGATGGTACGAGGACCTTAGAGTTTAGTGGAATGAAAGATTTAATGTGAGAGTGAGAGTGATGGGGGTGGAGAGAGGAAGGGAGGGAGAGAGAGACAATGGAAGAGTGTGCAGGTGTGACATGACTGTACACAAATGAGCAGGTATGGACAAGGATGGTTTGGATAGCATTCAACGGTCATTAACCAAAGTCTTTCCTGACCTGTTAATTTAACAGAGGAATCTATGTAGGCCCTGTCCCTGCCTCCTGTGTACAGGGCTGTGTCCAGCTGCAGGCCATGGCATCAAACAAAAGGGTTCATTTCCTACAGGTGTCTGTGGCTCCTCCTTCCCAGTTGCCATCCACTTATGCTCCTCCATGTCACCCAAGCACCCTGAAACCCATCACCCCATCAGAGAAAATACCATGGATTTGCCTGTGCTGAACCATCCTTGTGTCCCTGGGTTGAAACCAGCTTGATCATGATGTATGATACTTTTTCAGGTGTTGCTGGATTCTGTTTAAGGATTTTACTGAGAATATTTGCTTTATGTTCATTAACAATATTCTCCTGTATGTTTTTTTCGGTAGTGTTGGGTTTTTTTTTTTTTTTTTTTGGTCTGGTTTTGGTATCAGGGTGATGGTGGTTTCATAGAATGAGTTTGAGACTGTTCCTTCCACTTGAATCTTTTGGAAGAGTTTGAGAAGGATTGGTATAAGTTCTTCTTTCTATGTTTGGTAGAATTCCCCAGTAAAGCCAACTAGTCCTGGACTTTTGTTTGCAGGGAGGTTTTTTATTGCAAATTCCATTGCACTTCTAGTGATTACTCTGGTTCAAATTATCTGTTTCTTCTGGATTCAGTTTTGGTGGACTGTATGTTTCTAGAAACATGTCTCTTTCTTCGAGGTTGTCCAATTTGTGGACATACAGTTGTTGATAGTATTCTCTTATAGTTTTTTCTATTTATATAGTGTTAGTTGTAATTTCTCCCCTTTCATTTCATATTTTGATTTTTTGTGTCCACTGTTTTCTTCTAATGAGCCTGGCCAGGAGTTTGTTGATTTCATTTACTCTTTCAAAAAACCAGCTCTTGTTTCATTGTTTTCTTCTTTTGCTTTTTAAAAATCTCTACTTTATTTACTTCCTGCTTGATCTTTATTATTGCTTTCCTTCTGCTGATCTCAGGTTTTATTTGTTCTTATTGCTATTCTTCCAAGTGGTAAGTTAGGTTGTTTATTTGAGATTGTTCTTTTTTGAGAATGGTTTGTATTGATACAAACTTCCCACTTAGGACTGCTTTTGCTTCATCCCATAGATTTTGTGTGGTTGCGTTTTCATTGTCATTTGTCTCAAGGTATTTTTTACTTTCTTCTTTGATTCCATTATTGACCCATTGGTTTTTTAGTAGCATTTTGTTTAGTCTCCATGTCTTTTTTTTTTTTCTTGTTTTTCTTCCTTTGGTTGATTTCTAGTTTCATGCCATAGTGGTAGAAAAGATGCCTGAAATTATTCTATCCTCTTAAATTTGCAAACGCTTCTTTTGTGTCCGAGTATGTGGTGGTCTAACATAAAGAATGTTCCATGTGCACTTGAAAAAAATTTATTCTGTTTATTTGGGATGTAATGTTCCGGAAATATCACTTATACTTAAATAGACTATTGTGTCATTTAGTATATTTGTTGCCTTATTGATTTTCTGCCTGGAAGACCTATCCAATGATGTTTGTGGGAGGTTAAAGTCTCCTACTAATTTAGTATTTCCCTCCATTTCTCCCTTTATGTCTGTTAGTATTTGTTTTATGTATTTAGGTACTCCTATATAGGGTGCATATATGTTAACATATGTAGTATCTTCTTCTTGTATTGCTCCATTTATCATTATATAGTGTCATTCATCTTTCTTTATGGCCCTTGTTTTAAAGTCTCTTTTATCTGGTATGAATATTGCCACCCTTGCTTTCTTGTCATCTCATTTACATGAAATAAGTTTTCCTATATCCTCACTTTCAGTCTATATGTGTACTCCACCTTAATGGGGGTGTGCTATAATACTGGAAAATATGGGTAGAAACTTGTCTTCACCTGATTCAAGCAAAAAAGAGATGCCACTCCTCTACTGACTCTGCATTGTGAATATCACTGCTGAACTGCAGTAGAGAGACTCCTTGGAGGACTCAGGGGGCAAAATTCTGATTTCTACCACTGTAGAGAAATAAGGAGGTACCCATTCCCATGGAGAAGTTATAGGGACATTGCTGACTTGCATTCCCCATGCAGCAAAAAACAGGCTTTCCTACTCAAAGGGCTCCAGTCTTTTGTCCCTATCCTCACTCTCTCCAGCCTGTAAGGATGAGAATGTGGGCTGGAGTCCTGTGGGGGAGGGTAACACATAAGTGTGGTAGACCAGTATAGCACTGCAAAGGTTCTATAACTTAAATTGACATTTGAATTCCAATCAACAAGAGTCAGCACTGAACATAAGTAGGTTGAATATCTGCTAAAGTGCAGATTTAAGCAAATACCACAGTCACATAACAAAATATCGAAAATGTCCAGACTATAGTGTAAAATTACTCATGTTACCAAGAATCAAGGAAAAGTCAACTTGAATGAGACCAACACTGAGATGATAGAGATGTTGGAATTATAGAATACTTTTATGCATTGATTATAAGTATGTTTTAATAAACAATTACACTCAAAATTTTTAAAAATAGAAAATCTTAACAGAGAAGTAGAAAATACACATAAGAACCAAAGAGAAATTATAGAAATAAAAAATAAGATAACCTAACAAAAAACTCGTTAGAGCAACACAATGCAGAGTATTAATGACAGAAGAATCAAAGAAATTGAATACATGAAGACAAAGTACCCAACTGTAACAACTCAGAAAAAATAGAGTGAAAAAATAACAAAAACAGAGCTTCGGGGACTGATGTTAGGATGACAAACAGTGCCATTAGTGACCAAGAGTACTAGAAAGAAATGAAAAACAAACAAAAACATGGACTTGAAAAAATATTTGAAGAAAGAGTATCTGAAAAATTCTCAAACGTGGTAGCAGAAAAACCTGTAGATCCAGGAAGCTGTGAGTGAACCCAGTAAATCCAAGGAATTCAACAGTAAGACATACCGTAATCAAATCTCTAAAAAGTAAAAACAATGAAAATTTCTTGAAAGTATGCAGAGGAAAACAACTAATCTCTCATAGAGAAAATAGTTCACAGATTTCTCATCAGAAAGTCGGGAGCCCCCCTCCAATAGCACAATATTTTTAAGAATAAAAGAAAATGTCAACCTAGAATTTTATATCCAGTGAAAATGTACTGCAGAAATGAAGGTGAAATAAAAACTTTTTAGATGAAAGAAAGCTAAGAATTTTTTTTTTTTTGCTAGCAGATCAGTTTTAAAAGAATGGCTAAAGAAAGTTCTTCAGTTACAAAAGAAAGAGCAAGGGGAGGCACAAATAAGTGGGTAAATACACTATTCTTCTCTTCTGGAATAAAAAATTGCGCTTGACTGTTAAAAGCCATGTTATAACTATTGTAACTACTGTCTGATGTAGTTCTCTATGTATGCAGAGATAATATTTAACATATTTTATGTATTAAAAACTGCAAAAGGTGAAGTGACCTAAAGTTGTAAGGTGTCTATATTCCTCTTTAAGTGGAAATGTATTGATTCTTAATTCAATAAGCTGTGCATGCAAAGCATGGTATCTTTAGAGCAAGCATGTAAAACCCAATACAAAGAGAGAGAGTCAAAAACACTACAGAAAAAACTGAATTCTTAAATAATGTTCAGGTGATGCACAGGAAGACAGCAAAAAGAAAGAGATATAATACAATTTGAAAAAAAAGAAAAGAAAAAGTAAAATGGCAGGTTTAGGTATTAATATATCAATAATGTATTTAAATATAAATGATCAAAATTCACACATTAAAAGACAGATATGAGCAAAATTTTAAAAATGACCCACCTGTATTCTATTGATAAGAAATTCAATGAAAATATAACAATATAAGTTAAGGTTAAAAGTGAAAGAATGGAGAAGAATACACTATGCAAATCCTAATCAGTAGAGAGCTAGTGTGTCCATATTACATCAGACAAAATAAAGTTCAGGCAAAGAAAGTTACCACAGATAAAGAGGGACATTGCACAATAATTAAAGAACCAATTCACCAACATGACATAACAATTTTAATGTATATGCACCATAAAAAGAGCTGCCAATTACATAAGTGAAAAGTACTAGAACTGACTAGAGATATAGACAGAATGGCAATTATATTTGGAGACTTCAATATGCCTCTCCTAGTCACTGAGCATCAGTAGATAAGAAGTCAACAGGCATACAGAAGAAGTAAAGAACACAGTCACCTAATTATTTCTAATCGACATATGGTATAAAACCCTCCAGCAGCAGAATACACATTTTTTCCAAGTATGCGTGGTGCTGTATCTTGGGTCATAAACCAACATTTACATATTTTTAAAAAATTGAAATCATAAATATATGTCCTCAGACAGTAATGGACTCAAACTGGAAATCATTAACAGAAAGAAAACAAGAAAATCTCCCACTACTTGGAAATTGAATAACACATTTCTTGAATAAGGGGACAGATTTAGGAGTCTAGCTTTGGATTTCTATAGACTAATTCTGTCACTTAGTGGTTCCAACGGCTGTTTCTCCTAGAAAGTGACAAATACTTCTCCATGTGAACTTAAGTATCCATTATAGGCTCATGTTTAAATTGCTCCAGGTAATTTCTAGGCAAAGGGGAATTAATATTTGTTGGCCACCTGCTATTAGCTATATTAATATTGACCATTCACTGTTTCATTTAATGTTCACAACTACCTGTCACAGTGTTGTCTCTCAACAAAGTACCAGTGCTGAAGGCAGGGAAGCAGCTGAATAATCTTGGGAAAGTGTTGGATGTTGGAGAGAATTTTAGGGAACTCAGAGCAGCCACAGTTAGGAAGTCCTGATGGGAGATGATTACAAAGAAATGGAAAGAGGCTACAAGAAGGGTTCCAAGTGGCTCCCTAGGGAGTCTGAACTTGGGAGGCAGCTGGGAAGTAGGGAGAAAGCCTGAAGAGAGGAATGACATTGTAAATGACTACTTCAGTGAGAGTGGATTGCAGAGTGAGGAGACTGAAGGTGAGGGCTCAGTCCTTGTGGGGACGGCAGCAACTCAGTTGTAAGGTGGTGAGGATTTAGGTAATGGTATCACATTTTACTCATGGGCAATGCAGACTAGAAGAGGGAAAGTTTAGCATTTCCCCCCAACACCGAGGATAACAGTATTAAAGAGACAAGGTGATCATATTACAAATAGGATGTACCAATAGTGCGTAACATGACACACAAATGACTTAAAGAACGTATCATGTCTGGCATTCTAAAATATAAACAGTTCACAATATTTCACCCCTAGAAGGGGCAGATAGAATCAAGACAGTTGACAATGAGGAATACAAGGCTCAATGTAGGGGGTACCAGGATATCAGCTTTAGCATCAACTCTCCCCCCACCCCACCGCCCGCATCTTCCTGCCCCCAGTACCAGGAATGGACTTTGCCCTACAGGTCAGGGTCAGGAGGCGCCAGGGCACTTTCCCCGACTCCTACCGGCTGAAGCGATAGGTGCAATTTCCCAAAATCCAGAAGGAAGAGGTGTCCCACGAAGGGCAGGCGCGGGGGCCCAGGCGGGGAGTTCTTAGGGCGCCGCCTTTTGAGGAAATCAGCAAAGAAGAGAAAGATGAGGGCACCCAGCAGGAGAGTGCGGAGACGGAGCAGCCCCCAGAGGGCCGCCGCCGGGGAGCCCAAGGAGCCCAGCATGGCTGTGGTATCTGCTCTCTTTTCTGAGTTCAGATGCAATGACTGTCCCAGCGGGGCTCTAATAGGAGCGCCCGCCCCGCCCCCTCTCCCCGTCCCTAGGCCCTTGCAACCCCAGTGGATCCCAGCCACACCACTCCCTTCAGGGACCCACTCCGCCCCGCCCTCTCCTGCCATGGGGCTCCCTGTACCACCGGTTCTGCCTGCTCCTTTCCTAGGCCCTGCCTCGTGCAGCCTCCCCATCCCACTCTCAGTGGGTCCTCTCCTTCCCACCCTCCACCATCAAGCGCACATGCCTCACCAGATGCCAAGGGCCTGACTCCTGGGAGAACATGCTCGGATTTTGGAAAAAGCCAGGCTGGAAGCCTTTTTATTTGCTATTTAGAAAGCCTATCTCTCTGTGAGAACACAGGCCTCTAGGGTTAGGTTTCCGTTGCATCTCTGACAGCACTGCAGACCTTTGAGCTCCGCGTTTTTCAATGACCCTCTCGTCCAGTGACTGGAACCGAGCCTCGTGAACTTTTATCAGGACAACAGCAGCGCCTGACATTTCTTGGGTGCTTATTATATGCCAGGCATTGCTGCCACCTCTATGCATTAATCGCTTAATTCTGACAAAACTATACAGATTTTCTTTGTTCCATCTTGTAGTTGCAGAATCTGAGATAGAGGATAAGTACTCATAAGCGGTGAATAAATGATCCTACCGACCTGAAACACATCTAAAGTAGTCCCTGTATTTGGAACCGCTTTGAAGATTAAGAAGCATTACATCAAATCCCTAGCACTGAGGCTAGTCCTTAACAGGTGCTTAATGAACACTGATATCAGAGGTTTCAGGGGTAAGTGCAAACAGAGAAAAGAGCTGAAAAAGGGGATGGTTACACTCCCCCGCCCCCCCGCCCCCCCCCCCCCCCGCCCTCCCATGCAGGGCGGGTCTTGGCTCATCCCCCCTGTGCTCTGACACCTGCTCCAGGCTTCTGCTGCCCCTCCTCTACCTGAATGCCTGAATACAGAACTCAGGAAGGAACGCTGGATTCCTCATATTCACTATTTCCTGGATGTAAGCATAAAGTCTCTTGCTTCAGCAGGATTTCAGTCCTTCTTGTGGTTTTCAATCACACAGGCAGCAAATGTTTTCAGTTCTCCCAGTTACTAAAGACCCTTTAGTGGGATCCAGGTAGGAATTTCATTATCCTTGGAAAGACATCCTAGAGCTGATTGAAAAAATCAAAACAATCATGGTAAGGTGGTACTAGTTTTCCACTTTTTAACAGAATGTAACCGTTGACACTTCTTATTCTCATCCCTCTTCTTACCCTCTGACCAAGCATGTCAGCCCTCCATCCACAGTATAACAAGGGTCAGACGACCAGTCACCACTCCAACTGCTTTGTCATCCTTGTACAAAACACCCGCATTTCCTACGTGGATGCTGTGATAGCCCCCAGCAGGGTTCCTGATTCCATCCTTCACCCCATTCAGCTCAGCTCCCAGGCGGGTCATTTAACAGTTTAATTGATCACTTCACATTCTGGCTCTCAATCCTCCAGTGACTTTCCATGACATTTAGAAAAAAATTCAACCTCATTCTCCTGGCCTGTAGCTGTACATGAGCTGACCTCTCACACCCCTGTCTCCTCCTCTGCTACCCTCTCCAACATCTTCCCCCTCTTACTCTTCCCAGTGAGCCCCACTGGCCTCTGTTGTAACACCCAGGATGTCCTTGTTTAGGTCTTTGCATTTGCTGTTCCTTCCATCTGGAATGGTCTTCCTCTGAAATCTGCACAACTCCAGTCCCTTCCTTCATTAAGATGCTCCCCAAAGGTCACCTACTTGGACCTGTCTTGTTTGATGATCCTATAATTAGCAGAAATTCTGCACCCTCCTTCCATTCCTTTATTTTGTTTTATTTTCCTTCTTTGGAATTATCGCTAGTATGTGTGTGTGTGTGTGTGTGTGTATGTGTGTATTTGTGTGTATAATACACGTCTATCTGTCTATGCATCCTTGTATCTGTGTTAAACATGTGTGTGTGTGTGTGTATGTATGTTTATATATATTTGTCCATCCCAACTATGATGTAATCTCCATGTGGGTAAGAGAGTTTAATGGTGAAATAGAGTAGTTTTAAATATATTTTCTCTTATAATATCTAGTCAAAAAGAGATAGCATAAGATAATGGAAAATGGCCTAGATTTAAAGAGAAACTGGCAGGAATTGGACTCTTAGCTCTGTTGTTTTCCAGTTATAATACTTTGGTAATTAATAATAAAATAATAAAAATAAAAATAATAATAATAATAATAATAATAACAACAACAACGTGGTTTCTCACTACTTAAACTGGCTGCCAGTCAGGCTTGAGGGTTATTTTGGAGACCACATGACTGGAGCTCCACCCCGCACTTAACACAGAGCCTGTGGACCACTATGTGGATTTGCTTAACATGACGATATCTTCTTGCACACATCAGGATGTTTTATTTCACCTTAAAGGACTGTTGGAAAAAGTCAACAGAGATAAAGTGTGTGTAGTTGTCCATCAAAGTACCTGGTCCCCTTTGCGTCTCTAAGAAATGCTTCTACCCCTGCCCCACTGCCCCATCCTACTCGCCCACCCCACCCAGGAAACTGTCTTCCCCAGGAACAGGCAGCTTTGTATCCTCTGAAATCTCATGACTTTCTAGGCTCTGTCTTAAGAGGAGGGTAGAAAATGGAAATACTGAATGGGGGCCTACCCTGATTAGAAGTGAGAACAGGGAACGTTATTCAAAAATAACACTGACAATAATCATAAAAGCCCACATTCATCAGGCCGCTTTAATGTGCCAGGACTCATAGGAACTGCTTTATCACCTTTGGTGTGATGGGTCCAGAAAGCTCCAGACAAAGATGCTTGTCAGGAATAAATAACAGCAAACCCTCTTCTAGACACCGGAGAGGAGACCTCAGCGCCTGGGGCTGATTATCCCTAGAAGTTCCTTCCAAATCCAGAAAAGAGGCTGAGAGACCAAGAAGCTGAGCAGAGTTACTGACAGACTCACAGGCCCAGCAGGACAGAGGAGGAGGGCAGGCCCAGCAAAGAAGGGTTGAGGCTTGAACCCCCTACGTGTATACCTGACAGAAGTAGATGATTGACCACATCCAGAGCGGATGGGCATGTAAGGAGTGCAGCTGCTTGGGGAACCGTTAAGTACTATTTATGTCCAAGTGAATCTGCAAGAGAAATGGAAGG